GGAAATAACACTTTTCGGTATATATTTTATCCATTTTCAGCAGAAAATTGCTCAAACTTAGTCAGAATCATCTTGGGTAAATGAGAGTTTTACTTTGTAAAATTAGGATTCCTGCCCCATCCCCAGGGGCTAGGGCGGGGCCCCAAAGGGAACATTTACCAATATTTTCAAATTCTTATCCATTGATGACATGACAAGTATTGTATTTCACTTAGTTTACATGCTGATTTCCACATCACATCTAAACAATAACTCAGGTGACTGCTAAGGCCCTTGGGCCTCTTGTTATCATTTTGTTATTGGTGCCTTTCCTGTTTGTTACAGCACTGTGACTGCCACCGTATCTCTGGATAGGAGGCACACAAGTCTCAAGTACCTAATGAAAAATCTGGCTTTACTTTACTTTGAGGGAGTCCAATTTCCAGACCTACGACAGAAATACTTGGAATGTATTGGTAAGCGTTGTTGTGATTTTTTTCATTATTAAATTGTATGTTGTAGACAAGAGAAAAATAATAATATTGGTTATTCATTATAACTCAACTATCTTATCCATCATACAAAATGTTGTTGCAATTTATCATATTAATAGTAGATTTCTGTCTCTTTTCAGGCAAGGAATGTCGAGCGATGAACCTACAAGGTAAATATGTTGACAATGTTTTCTTTCGGCCTGTCTGTTACATATATTTGGCACTGTGATTGCTGTGGTGTGTTTCATGGGGTCTTACAATGATGTAAGTCCAAGGTTTGCTGTGTACATGTGGACACAGCTTGTAACACATGTACCAGGGTGAAACACAGTAAAAACTTGTCAATGGAAATGAGACGGTCGCTAGATATACACAATATTTGACAGGGTTGATTAAGTAGAATCATAATGTTGGATGGGTGGACTATACATTGGTTTTATGAATGTATTTAGAATGTTTTATTCTGTATTATGTTACTTTGTAATTACAATACTCTACTCATCAATGAACATGAAATCTGGGATAAAATCACTGACAGCGTTTCTGAAATTCTCTGGCTCGTTCCACCAGACTTCAGTATTTATAACAGCAAACTTTTCTTTCCTAGAGAGTAAATATGTTAAAAATATCTTAGTCTGGTGGAAAAAGATCAAATATACTTTAAAACCCAGACAAATTTCTTAGGAACTTTTATAAAAAAAGCCTATGTTTTTGAGTGGTTATATTTTGGTGTGATGCATGCAATGAATTACAATGATCAAGATGCATTAGTAAAGTTTGACTGTCAAAAATAAAGCACTACACAGTATTTGCCTGTGGATTTATGATATGAAATGTTTCAGTAAGCAATGAGCATATATACTCAAATGAAAAGCCTTGTGATTTTGCCCTCGACCCAAACAGATGCCATGTACGGTTGACTATAGGTGATAACTGTATTGTGTTGATAGATTTTTGTTGTTGTATTAATCATTGGAAGGATCCAATACCATGTATAATGTACTTTTATATGTGTTCTACGATGTACGTGCTCATTCACAATGTTTTAATATTGGATATCGTTATTATGTTTATCCTACTACAGGCTTAAAGCCATGGACTTTCTTCTCACTTACTGTTACAGGAAAATTTTGCACTTCCATTTATACCTGACAATCATATGCATCCTCAGCTGATGATCTTAGTATGTCCTTATTAACGTAAGGATATTTTAAGCGAAAATAAAATAATGATACCATTCTGTTGCATCCTTGGAAATGTTTTGTGGTTTGAAATATATTTTTAAAGGATCTCTTAATTTTAGGAGAAAATCCAGACTTCATTTTGAGAGGTTGTTTCAGGGGAAATGTCTCTCTTACAAATTGTGTTTGGACTCTACATTCAAAGTTAAAAGATATTGTGTATTGTGAATTATTGGAAAGCGCCAGCAAAAAATGAGGACTGCTTGTGTTGTGATGTGCTATGAATCGTGAATATCGAGGTGAAATCAGTGAGATTATCTGATGGATGTTCACAGTGAAGGGAGATAGTCAAAGGGATAGTGTCGTGAATATCGAGGTGAAATCAGTGAGATTATCTGATGGATGTTCACATTGAAGAGAGATAGTTGACTTCTGTTTCAGGCTTTCGTCTTGTTTTATACACAACTTGGACTGTTGACTGTAAGTTCATGTCGAGGGTGACAGAATTGTTCAGAACCCATGTTGTGTTTGCTTATTATCCACAGGTATACATCCAAAGCAATATTCTCTGTTTGCTTACCAACTTCCAAAATATACAACACGGGAAAAACTCAAACAAGTTTTTCCTAACTGCAAAAGATGCTTCCTAGCGTATACAAGGAAAGGTATTGGGTAAGTTCCATGTTTGAGGAGTTGTCGGGATTAAGGTAAGTTAAAAGTTTACCAGATAAATGTGAGCCTACTGTTGATAGTGATTCTGACATGGGTCAGAATGTTCAGATGTATGTCTAATGGCTATAAATTCATAACTTTGTAAAGTATATATGCATGGTTTTCAATGTATCTCGAGGACAGTTTTTCATTTTAGTGTGTACATTTGTTTATTTCATTGAATACTATAATGAATGAATTATATAAAGGGACATTTCTAAAAATACTTGAATTGGGTTTGATACAGATGATTGTACAAACCATGGTGTTTATGGTGACTGGTACTGAAACAGATTATTTTCTGTAACTAGACTGTTTCTCTCATTTATATGTATGCAGTTATAATGAGACTGTTTTATACGACCGATAGAAATTCTTATATTTTCATAAATTTTATTTTCAGTTTTCTCTAATTTACATCTGGAAGTAAAAAATAACCTACTGGAACAATTACATGATACAAAAGACATTGCATTTTTATAACTCAAGGCCAAAAAAATATTGTTACCCATTTTCTGGCAGATTTTGAAATGTTGGTAAACATTAAACACTTCTGCTTTATAGCTTACGTGGGTATAAGTATATGCATTGCTTTGCTTTACAAACTCATAGGTAATGATAACTAATAAATAAGAGTGATAAATACAGATTGATAAAATGTGTTTCATAAGTAATAAGTCTGATAGCATCTTTTCCTAACAGTGCCGTTGTTGTCATCAAATTTTTACTTTATATACAAACAGTGTACATTTTAAATGTGTCGCAATATTTTAAAACTGATTACATATTGCAGCTGATAAATGTTATTGTAAAAAGTGCTGTTGCTGACCTGTTGGGTTTCAGGTCTGTGACAGCCATCGTGAGACCCCTGTCACAGTGTGTTTTGCGTGTTTGTTTGTAGGTGGGCTGTGCTACAGTTTAGGACCAAGGAGGAGCCACTGAGGATCCTTCAGGCCACCGGCTGTGAAATCACTCTAGAGAAAAGGGCCCCACCTACAAGTCTCAGTGTGGTATCTCTTCGTTCGACAGGTAATATTCTGGAAGTGTTTTAGATGAGAGATTCTTGCACAAATTCATAAATGATAAATTTAAATATTTAATATTATAGGACCTCACAAATACATCACACAACCTTTTAATCTATTTCAGAAAGAGGTAAGGAAATTTCTCGTATCTAAATATAGCACAGCTAAAAACTAAATGCAGGATGGGAATGTTGTACTACTATCGAGACAACAAATACTTGCGTCCCATAAATATACCTTAAACTTACCAGGTTATACTGGAATGTCTGAAGGGTGTCACAGAGTATATGTCTTGTATTAGTATATTGTATTTATTGAAATGCCAAAAGGTGTTGTAGTATATATCTATTATGTTTAATTGTGATCACATCTATCTAAACACCATGTGTGAAATGTTAGCAATGTTCTGAAATTTCTTTCAGAGGAGCTGACCAATCCAGATTTCAAGGCATGGTTTTATGACCAAAAATTCAACCCAGGTAGGTAACACCTGTGCTGATTAGATATAGGAGCTTGCCTTGGTCTATTTATGTGTATTTCAGTGAAAAACATGCAAAGGTTTGGCAATAACTATTGCACGAACATGTTGTATGTGTTCACAATCAATTGTCTCTTGTATGGATTTGCAATTAAACCCTCTAGGGTAAAAAAACAAAGTCACTATTTGGTACTATAAATAGAATGTTGGGTTCTCACTTCAGGATTTTATCCAATTGTCCTGAAATTTCACCTACATTTTCACAAATATCTAATAGTTAGTATAATTTGTAATGATGTGATCAACCATACATTTATGTCTTTGTATTTCAGGAGGAAGAGGTTGGGGACCAAGAATGGAGAAAGACAACTCTAAAGAAAACAGTATGAAAGAAACAGCATGGGACAGAAACCGCAAAGAAAAGTCATTGAATACAAAACAGAAGCTAGCTTACAAACAGCAGTTACACAAAGCACAAACAAAGGGTGGCAGTCCAAAGACAGCAAAGCTGCAAAAGTTGCAAGCAAAGAATGACAGTCCAAAGAAAACGAAGCTACAAAAGACACAAGCAAAGAATGACAGTCCACAGACAGCTAAATTATCAACAATTGTTTCTGATAGAAAGCAGGGCCCTTGTTATGTAGCCCCCAGTGTCAGATGTCTGATCTCTGTCCTAACAAATGTAGAAGGTCAGACAGCACCATCATCCAATGTCAAAGGTCACATACATGTGTCGCCTAATATAGAAATTCAGACATTACCATCATCCAATGTCAAAGGTCAGACAGCTACATTGTCCAAGGTCAAAAGTCCAGTTTCTGCCTCTCCTGTCAAAAATAGCTCAGCTGTATCATCCAATGTAAAAGTTAAGATAAATACACCTTCATCCTCCAAAGCCAAAGACCAGACTTCTAAAACTGCTGATGTCAAAACTAAATCATCTCGTGGTGTCAACAAACAGAAGGCTCTAATGTCTCCTGTCCAGAATCAAGAACAGGAAACAAAAGAGCAAGCCTGTCCAACAAAAAAGGGTGGACTGAAAAACAACTCACAAGTAGAGGTCAGTCAGGAAGTGTTGCATACTGTTGATCAAGCTGAAGATACCAAAACTGATGAACAACCAACAGAAGATGTGGTGAATGCTGCAGGAACTGGAATTCTTCGAACTAAATATGGAATTGGGCATCCTGAGGCTAGGATTGTTGCCACGGCTGCAAATATAGAAGCTGAGGCCTTACCAACAGAATCGGGGACTATTGTCTTGCGCAAGGAATCTGATAAAAAAGTAAAACAGGAAGTAGATACAGCAATGGAGGATGATCAGGTAAATGAGGATGATCAGCAACAAGAAGCAGAACACGAGGCTGATGAAGAACCAGATACTGTAAAGAATGAAGGTGTGGAGGAACTGGATGCTGATGTGGTAGAACTGGATACAGAGGAAAATGAGGATGTGGATGATCAGGAAACTCGGGAGAATGAGGGTTTGGATGATACAGGTGAGAAAGGGGCATTATTAGAACTCAATACAGAGAAGAAAGATGTGGAAGAACATGGTACAGGGGACGATGTAGTGGAATGTGAAACAAGGGAAGATGCAGAAGAATTAGATGAAGAAGATGAGGATGTTGAAGAACTTGACACAATTGAGAATGATGAAGATGATGATGTGAAACTGGAGGCAGTAGAAGATGAGGATGAGGTGGACCTGGATGTAGAAGATGATGATGTTATTGAAATTGATGCAGGAGATGATGATGTTGTTGAACTGGATGCAGAAGATGAGGATGTTGTTGAACTGGATGCAGAAGATGAGGATGTTGTGGAACTGGATGCAGAAGATGAGGATGTTGTGGAACTGGACACAGGGGAAGATGAAGAGGAATTGGATGCAGAGGAGATAAAGGATGCAGATGAAACACAGAAAAATAAGGTGGAAGGGGAAAACAAGGCTGTGAAGAATGCAGAGGAAAATCAAGGTGAGAATGCAGTAGATAAGAAAACTAACGAAAACACAGATGGTGCCCCGATTGCAAAGCAGCCCACAACCCAACGTAAATCAGGCAAATCCCCAAGAAAAGGGAAAACATTCCCAGTAAGATCCTCAATGAGAAGTCCATTAAAGAAACAAGTTTCCAGGAAAGCAAGGCCAGGGTTAGTAAAAGGTGAAGGAGCTGGAGCCATCTATGATAATGTGTCCTCGTGTGACAGCATATCACCATACGATAATATCTCTAGTGACTCGGAACATGATGGCCTGAACAGGAAGGAATCACCCAGGAAGAAACGCGCTGCAATGAAAGGAGACACGAAGGATGCACAGCTGGAAAATGACAGCATCTCCAGTGATTCTCTCCCACCAGAGGACTTAAAAAAGGGCAGTAAAGGAGGATGGGATTACATGCGAGGAGTATGGGACTCTGTCAGTGGTGAATCTGTGGCCAGTGCTAATAGTGAGTTGAGTGACATCAGCTCCAAAGACAGCAAAGAGAAAAGGCCCAGGAAGGCTAAGAAAGGCAAATCTGGGGATGAATGGGAAGATAACTCTCTCAGTAATGTATCTGATGCAGGTGAGTTGTTGTATGTTGTGGTGAGCATCATTAAAATTATTACAAATTCTTATTGTAAAAAGTTCCATATAAAACTTTTGTGCATTTGATAAAATAAATTAGGACAGTAATATAAATGTATATGGGATCATTAATATTATTAACACGTCTCCAGATATAATTGCATGACTTTCTTCTAACTTTGGTATTGACTTGTCCTTGTAGAGAGTGAAGGACATGGACGTTTACATTCCCATAAAGTGAGTACATTGTATTGAGTATGAATATGTATGGTTATTTGTGTACATCATTTAAATAGACTTTCCTATTATACATCCTCTAAAGCTTTTACCAAACTTGTACTACTACACTTGAATGTTTTCCGACCAATATCTGTTGAAGTCTCTTTGTCATTCTGTTAGAGCAATCAGAGATTCATCAATTTTGGTAAAACCAAATTGAAAATTTGACCAAAATCCTGAATGGTTTCCGTTTGATATTTGTCACCTATCAGAAAGAAAAAAATAACTATAGAAAAGACTGTTTACAAAAATGGCTGCTCCACCATTTGGTAAAACAGTTGGCTGTCCCACCATTTGGTAAAACAGTTGAAATGAATCATGAACCAATGGAAACCACCAAGAAAACAGTAGCATTTTTTGTTGCTTTGAAAGTAAATACAGGGATTGAAATGCTTCTTTGTGACTCCCAAACCACCTTAAACAGAATTCATAGCCCATATTTAATAGTTATTCTATTATTATCCCCTGATTTGGGAGAAAATGGGAGATGCTATTTTTGGTCAGTCCATTTATATGTAATGCTTGGTTTCTCTGCAGTAACTTCCTCAGGAATGGTTCAATTTCAATTAATAAATTACAAAAAGAAAAAACAACAACCTTGAAGAAGTTTCACCTGTCTTTGATTTTGTAGTCCAAAAAGACTTTGTGAATGATTATTAAATTTTATATTGTTTAATCCTCAGGAACTGTCAAGCAAGATTCATTCAGCTCTTTCGGATGAAAAGTAAGTAGACATGTCATTGATTTCCTCTAGGCACAGCACAGTTCTTTAGCTTACATTAAACATATTCCTGGTTATCATTGTGAATCATGACACCTTTTTTTTCTTTTGAAGAAAATTAATTTAAAAGTTTGTAGATGATGTGCATGTTGAAATCAATGCTGTCATATTTAACTTTAGTTATATAGTGTGACATGAACTGATGAGAAAACCTGTAAATCAGGCCTGAAACCTGGTCCTAATGTTGTGAATTGTGTAGTCAATTAGTACATTAAACCTGTGTAGTCAGAAAATCTGTATTAATAAGGTAAACATGTAAAAATCTGTATTGAGAAGGTAAACATGCATGTAAACAGTCAAACTAGTATAAAATCTATCATGATAAATCCATACAAAACTTCACACAAAACTCAATATTCATTCACGAAATAATTTTATGTCTGTCCTGCAAATGGAGAGAGACATTGTATTGGTACAAATGTACTGCTGGTCCTTCTAGATCTGCTGATAATGTTTTTGTCAGGCAAAACAAACTTAATATTCCTACATCACCCTTGAAAATTAGGCGGGCCACTCTAATTTGTTTATCTCTAGGTTAAAGGTCAAATAAATGTTATTTATTTTTGGTCATGCATACATATTGCTGTAACTTTTTTATCTGTTAAAAAACGGTAAACACCTGCATCACCCACAGACGTTGTTTAAGGCACTTAAATTAGGTCTGATAACCTTCACGTTTGGATGAAAGGTCAAATGATGATAGAATTTGTTTTAATGAAATCATGCCAAGGTTGTAAATTTCAAACATTAATATATATTTTTATGAAAATGTCTGCATCACCCAGACTCTGTGCAGTGCACTGTATTTCAGTCACCATGACAATCATAAAGTGAAAGTTCAAAGCAATTATGCATCACGACTGGTTAGAGGAGACATGGTTTTGTTTGTTCATAGAAAACTATCTATTTAAATAATGATTTTGTTTTGGGTATTCAATGATATAAAGTCAGTAAAAATGTGTAAAATCCCTACATTTTCCTATCGATTCCATGCAATTTCTTATAACACCTCTTTACTGTCACATATACATTCCTGTTAAAATTGAACCTGTATGATATTTATATAAATGGCGTCCTGGCATGTGTTATTTCTCATACTCCCTGTCCTTTAAACTCCAACAGAACAAGTTCTACAATAACATTTGCCCTGTGTTCTATTGCTGTGTTATAGATACAAGCAGAGTGACAGTGCCATGGTAGCCCTCCTTAGGTCAGCCCTTGATGTGGTGGTCCAGAGTAGGGAAAGGTAAGCCCTGCACTTGTTTATACAACTGGAGGTAACAATAGGCAAAATTCAAATTTACAGATTCACACAGTAAAATCAAAACAAAGGACAAATTTTGTTTAAGGATTATAATTTTGATATTGCATTTCATAAACACCATGTGTTGTATTTTAGGCAAAGCCCCTCACCTCCACCTAAAAGCAGCCGAGTACGAGGTGGCTCCCCAAGGAAAACTGATCCCCACCGGAAGTACAAACGCTCTCCTTCCCCAGCCTCGTACAAAAGACACGGAGATTCTTCACCATTGAGAGGTCGCCAGTCAAGGTCTAGATCACCTATGAAGAAGCACAAAAGGTCAGTTACTCCACTAAGACACAGGAGCTCACCATCCCCATTGAGACATCAGGATTCTCTTTCTCCTAAACGACTTCGAGAGTCTTTTTCCCCTCAAAGACGCCGTGGTTCACTTTCTCCACCACGAATAAGAGGCTCCTTGTCCCCTCCTCGCAGGTCCTTTCAATCACCGATGAGGGATAACTATGGTAAAAAGAGGACATCCTTTTCTCCAGTACAGGATGACAGATATCGGCAGCGTAGGGATTCTCAGATATCCAGAGAGGGTGTGCCTCGTCATGGAACACGCAGGCATGGGCTCTCTCCTGTCTCAGTGTCTCCTGTAAGAGATCGATATGGCCGAAGCTCATTTTCCCCAGGCACATCGGAATATGATAGAAACATGCTTGATATAGGAGGGCACTACAGACAGCGGTCACCTTCAGTCAACAGGGATACAAGCTACACTCGACGCAGAGTTTCAGTTTCCCCTGTAAGGACAACCTACACCAGACATAGAGGCTCACCCTCTCCTGAAAGGATGGCGTCCTATAGAAGAGCAAGGGATTCAGTGTCTCCAGTTGGAAGGGGGTATAATCGTAACAGACGGTCACGATCTCCAGCTGAAAGTGATAGAAGATATAACCGAAGCAGACGGTTACAATCCCCAGGTGCAAGGGAATATGACCGGAGTAGGCGATCACCATCCGAAGAGTCTAGGAGATATGACCAAAGAAGACGATCACCATACTCTGGTTCAAGGGGATATGACCATAGCAGACGATTACTATCCCCAGATTCAAGAGGTTATGACCAGAGCAGAAGGTCACTTTCCCCAAGGACAAGGAGCTATGACCGAAGTAGACGATCATTGTCGTCAGCCAGGCATGACTCATATGATCAACTCAGTCGAAGTTCAAGGTCAGCTGAAAGATCCTATGTTAGACATAGGTCAACTGTTGGGTCTTTGTCTGATATAAGCCAACAGTCAATCTCCAGGTCAGCTTCTAGAAGTTTGAGTCCTATATCTTCAAGGTCAAGGTCACCTAGTGTGAAGCGAAAGCATCCATATGATGATTATGCAGAGCAGGATGCTAAAAAAGCAAAGTTGAATGAGCCAGCAGGTAAGAAGTTATGTTAAATATATAAGTGTCTTATCTTCGTTTATGAACTGTCTAACGCATCACTGTTTGCTGTGTTTGCCAGGGTACCACAAAGCAGAATAACATAATTATACTGGTTTGAATTCAATAAATTTGTTTTAATATTATATTTTCACCAGTGAAATGTCAGTTTTTATCCATTTAATAAAAATTATATCTTCACAGCAGAGAAGATATCTGAAATATTGTGAAGATATCATTTTCAGTATTGTCCAATCAGAACAGTACTTTCTATTCCCTGTATAAGTTTTCAGTTTCAAGATCAGATGAGGCGACAACAGAATAAGTGATTGTTTTGACACCCCTTAACATACAGTATAGTATTTACATATGCGTATATAAAATACACAGCTCATATGATTTTTGTTTGGAAATCTTACCAGGTAATACAGCAGTACTAGTACGTCATTAGAATGTGGCGTCTAATATTATGCTGCTGATTCCTGTGTGCTTGGTGTAGCAATATTTGCATTATTTAACTTTAAAAAGCGTTCTAAATATATTTTTTTATGTTTTTTTCGTTGAATATGATATATATTTGAATGGTAGAATATACCAATATTTTCACTCATGCAAATGATCTGCCATACTCGTTAAAATAAATATGATATTCCAAGGGGCAACAATGAAACATTCTCTTCTATTGACTAATTATTAATTACCAGCACAGCTAATTATAATATTATCAATATATTTAAACACAAAAGAAAATCTGAAAAACAAAATCCTGACTCGACTGTTAATTGCATTGATAATGAAATTGTACTGATGTTAGTGAAACAAGTCTGTTACAGATCTTTGTTAACATTTAATAATAATAAACTTAATATATTTTACAACAAATATGAAATAAGTTATTACAGATTATATTAATCACTCTTTTTGGCCCAGATTTACTTAGATAAAACTTATGTGGTCGGGCAGATGACCCCATACTTTTTCTTTTTCTTCACCACATTTTTTTTTTCTCTCATCTTCAGCAGTTCCATATACAGCACCTGGATACAATGTGGCCCCAATCAGTTCAGTAGTTGGTAGTTCCTATTACCCTGGCACTGGTAAGTTGAGCACAATACCAAAGTGAATACTGGGATACGTTGAAATCTCAAAAGTCTTTATTTAAAAAACAGGAAAAAGAAAATTGTGTCGATGAAATGATGACGACATAGAGAGATGAGTGCATTGGCATCAGTCATCATCCACATGATGTGCAGTAACTCTTGAAGAAATATTTGTATTTTCATTAAACTAAGTGTATCAATTACCCACTAGAATTTGATAATGACCTGGATCTGAAACTCATATAGCCGCAAATTGCCATCTTGGGTTTTAGCATCATAAGTGGTTTTTTAGGTCACCTGAGCTTTAGCTCAAGTGACCTATTGCTATCCGTCTTCGTCCGTCGTCGTCCGTTAATATTTTACATTTGAAACTTAAGCTGAATTAAAACATTCTTGTGATGCCATCCATTGTTATAATTGTCCATTATATAGAATATGAGTACTGTTATATGCATAACTGTCCAATATGTTACAAAAACTGTCCAATAAGATCATAAAACTGTCCAATATTTTAATATTGTACAGTTTGTTAAAAATAACGGACATGTTTTTGGACCAGTTTAAGTAGATCATAGAAACTGGAGCATGACAATATATCCATCCAAAATTTAATTGCATTATTGAAACAATACAAAATTGACACAAGGGTGATCAATCCACTGGATATATACAGGTAAATCCACTGTTACAGATACAATGTACTCCCTTTTAGAATCTTAGGGTAAATGACACCTCACCCGCGCTAACAGATAACTCCCTATTATTAGTATTAGTATTACTGGAGTCAGCAAGTTTTAATTTTTTCACTGGTGATGCCATATTTTCAATTCCTTGCACAACACTGCTAACATTTGCCAGCTGCGCATCACATGTACGCTTATATGAACGAATGGCCGCTGACCGATGTCCAGTTTTTTCTGCCACTAATTGTTCGTCGAATCCTGCCTTATAGAGGCGTGTCGCAGCAGTCGCTCGTAGGGAATGGTTAGTGAAATATCCTTTAAATCCAGCCTCCTCACACAACTTCCCCACTGTCTGCTGCAAGATATGTACACCCAGTGGAGAATCACAGTACCAACAGTCCGGGCTGGGGGTCTTCTTTGGCCTTAGGTACAATGCACTGCATTTTCCGGTTTTTGGTCTGGAAGATTTTTAAATTGTAAACCTTAACAGTTAGAATGAAAAGGAAAATTGAAATTTTGTTTTAAAAAGGTAAAGTTCTATTTTCCAACATAATTAGGTCAAAAAAAAAAATGTTTCGAAATTCTGGACACATATATATATATTTTTTTTTTCAAATTTTAATTTTAATAAATGTGCTGTTATATTTAGCCACTGGATTTTATGATAAGCGTTGCGCAATAACAATACATCTTAATACGGTATGATTATATTATATAACTTCTGTATTTACCTTAGGCTCATGAATTTCTGGTATATCTTCACAGGACATTGGTCTGGAAGTACTGTGTTTTCATAGGCCCTTGTAACTTTTGGTGTCACCTTACGATGGAGAAGTCCTCCGGCATTCGTTTTTGATACATCTTCTCTGTATTTCAAATATGTTTTGCCATCAGAATCCTGTTTCACTGTAATTTGACTATAAGGTCCACATCTAAGATTCCTATGTTCTTGGCCTGCTCTCAATGCAAAATTCAAACCCAGTTGATACACTAATGTGTTTAAAAGTTTTTCTGGTGTGTCTGTCCCCAAGACACCTTTCTCCCACATCAACTGCTCTTGTTCTTCCGTTATAATTTCTGCCTGCTTTTTGTTTATTCCCAAACCTTGTTTTGCGAGGTTTTTCATCCTGGCGTCTAGTACCCCTCTCAGTCCTGCAAACTCTGTATCATCCAAAATATTCACAAAACGTCCATTTTGCCGAAAATAATGTTGTATAGATATAATTAATTCATACAGTGTGTTTGGTCTGTACTCCTCACCATTCTTATTTCGAACTTCAGCTACAAAATAAGTCAGAGCCTCATTAATATCGGAGACAGGTAAATCCAGTAAGTTGTTAGGAAAGTTTTTCAGCTTTTCATTGTTTTTGGATTGTATCAGTCGCTGTTCAATCCATGAATCAAAAACTTTTAAAGCCCATTTCGTTTTGTTTTCTGTGTTTACACATGATTCTCCAGCAACAATTTTTTTCAAATCACCATCCTGCATGGGAATTGCAAATCGTCGCCGTGTTTCAACTTCTTCAACAACTTGAGTTATTTCTGTCATTTCATCTTCCGAGATGTCTGAGAACATCTCACTTAAAATGTTGAAATTTGGCCGAGGTGTAATATTTTCCTTCTGTAAATCCAGGACATCACTTAATATCTCATCTGTATCTACAACAGTATTTTCTGTTGTAAATGTTGACTGTGTTAAAAATACTCCTTCACTATCGGAACTCATGATTGGAATGAGATAAGTACTATACCTGGGTGTATTTCATACCTGGTATATGCAGTTGCATACAAATCATGCAAAGTGAGATTGATATACATGACTGACCTCAGTATACAGTGTAGTTGAAAAACTGTCCAATATGTTATGAATAGCTTTCACGGTAATTGATTCATAGTGAAACTGTCCAATATTATCACAATGCACCAAAACACTGATAACAATTGATACAATAGGGGACATGTTTTAAGTAAGATATAAGCCTCAAACTGTCTATTATGTAAAATATTGGACAGTCTTCGGCGCTATGTGCCTCAGACTGTCCAATATTTTACATAATAGACAGTTTTCGGCTTATATCCTTAACATACTAGCAAAGGGATTTCATTAATATTTCATGGGAAGGTTACTGACATCTCCCTGACCAAGTGTTGTTATTTTTTGGTTCGATCAGAAATCCAACATGGCAACCATGGCGCCAAGTTCTGCTGGGCCGATTGAACTGAAACATGGTAGGAATGATCGACTCATGGTCCCGACAAAATGTTGTTATTTTTCTGGTCAATCAGAAATCCAATATGGCCGCAACGTCCGTCATTTTGAAAAAACAATTTCAAACTTAAAGTCAAGTTCCGCTAAGCTGATTGAACTGAAACATGGTAGGAATGATCGACTCATGGTCCCGACAAAATGTTGTTATTTTTCTGGTCAATCAGAAATCCAATATGGCCACCACGGCGCCATTTTGAAACACTATTCAAACTTAAAGTCAAGTTCCGCTAAGCTGATTGAACTGAAACATGGTAGGAATGATCGACTCATGGTCCTGACAAAGTGTTGTTACTTTCGGGTCGATCAGAAATCCAATATGGCCGCCACGGCCGTCATTTTGAAAAACTATTTCAAACTTAAAACTCAAATTCTGCTGAGCCGATTGAACTGAAACTTTGTAGAAATGATCGACTTATGGTCTTGACAAAGTGTTGTTATTTTTCTGGTCAATCAGAAATCCAATATGGCCACCACGGCGCCATTTTGAAAAACTATTTCAAACTTAAAGTCAAGTTCCGCTAAGCTGATTGAACTGAAACATGGTAGGAATGATCGACTCATGGTCCTGACAAAGTGTTGTTACTTTCGGGTCGATCAGAAATCCAATATGGCCGCCACGGCCGTCATTTTGAAAAACTATTTCAAACTTAAAACTCAAATTCTGTTGAGCCGATTGAACTGAAACTTTGTAGAAATGATCGACTTATGGTCTTGACAAAGTGTTGTTATTTTTCCGGTCGATCAGAAATCCAATAAGGCCGCCACGGCCGTCATTTTGAAAAAATATTTCAAACTTAAAACTCAAATTCTGTTGAGCCGATTGAACTGAAACTTTGTAGAAATGATCGACTTATGGTCTTGACAAAGTGTTGTTATTTTTCCGGTCGATCAGAAATACAATTTGGCTGCCATGGCTGCTGTTTTGAAAATAACTACAGTCAAACCCGCTTGAGCGGTCACCTGAAATAAGTCACCTCCCTTATGTGGTCAGTATGTGGTCAGCCCGATAGAAAAAAACTATATAATGAACCTGAAATAAGCAGCCACCTGTCTAATGCGGCCAGCGGCCACAAAACTTTGGCCTGAGACGTTATCTCCACCTGTATTCAGCGGTCATTTTGTCCAGAAATTGACATCAAGAAGCTCCCAATATATATACGAGAACACATCTCAATAGAGCAAAGCTAATTACAATGTATAATTAAAAACCATTGGTAAGGTTGGACATGTCGAATTGACAAGTTAACACAGCGATTTTCAGTTTGCAAATTGGGGCCGGTCCTACCGACCCATCAGCAATATTTTACAAACTAAACAATTAATCCCACTTTGTGTACTCAATCAGCTTGTGATTTTCAAAACAAGTATGATCTTTTGTGGTATCTGTACATACTGTATCCAAAGCTACTCAGGCCTAATATGTTATGTGATCAAAACACTTGCCACTATATTGCATGCGGAAAACAGATCTGTTTCCGGTCTGCCAGTCACTGCTTCCGGTCTGCCAGTCACTATTTCTATATTAACGAAGCACACATCATGTCAAAAGGATAAATTTCACAGCGCAGACATTAAATGAAATTTTTGTTTTCATTTCTATGTCGTGATTTACTTCTATAATATATTGGTTTGTAATAGCTGTGCGAGATCAGAACATTAGTGTTAGCCTTTCCATACAGCACATGGGTACTGTGAATAAACCGTTACGCTGAGTTGAAACCTCAAAGATTCTTGCAAAGTTCTAGATTTATTGAGTGATTTATTTATAAATGCTGAATTAACTAAATATCGATATATCATTTTATTAGAAAATTATTTGAACCACGTAGATCAAAATACATCGCAATGCAGATTTTCATTAAAATCAGATATACATGTAGATTTCAGTACTGGTGGTTGTCTGCTAGCGCAAAACGTATGTGGAACACGTGTGTAGCCAAACAAAAATAAATTCATCATTTCAAGAAATTAATCACCAAAATGCCTTTGTATTTCATTGATTATGCAAATTTATATTCAGGTATGAAATCGTACCCCTGTTGATGAAGGGAGAAAAATTCAAATTAACATAGCAGCCTATATTTCCGGGGAAATGTCATTTTAACCCGTGGATGTATGAAAACTTGGTTGTGATTTTTGGGTGAGCCTGGTTTTAGCAGCCACCTGTCGATCTTAAGCGGCCAATTTCTGCCGGTCCCTTGGGTGGCCTCTTAATACAGGTTTGACTGTATTTCAAACTTAAAAACAACTTCTAATAGGCCGATCTAACTGAAACTCGGTCTAGGAATGATCAGCTCATGGTCCTGACAAACTTAAGTTAACGTTATACTTAACTATTGTTTACTCAAATTGGTACATATTTCAACAACAAAAATAAATACTGTATGGCTCGGGTGACCGTTAAGGCCAATGGGCCTCTTGTTCATGTTATAACTTTTGTTTCCATGACACTTCCTAAATAGTTTCAGCATTATTTTCCCACTGAAATTGGATTTTGAGCCAGATTCCAAATTTCAGTAGCCATCTTGAATTATGTAAATATAATGTTTCTTAAAGATATGTTCTGAACAATTTTTCATATTTTGATGAAATTTGCCTGGTATACTTACTACCCTAGTCCCTCAAGTTTGATATTCAACAAAATGTGTGAATATGTATTTGGAATGCTTCAGTCTGATTGGATGATTGTCTCTTGGCAATACATTTTGAAGGAATAGAAATTGCATTTTGATGAAGCATGTTATACTTTCGACCCAAGTTCACAGCCATCACCCCATCAAAGTTGTTGCAGGCAGCACTTCCACTTTTGGGAACTATTGTCTCGCTTGTAATTCAAAGTGATAGAAAAAGTGTGCATTTGAGCTCAAATACACCCAATACACGTTCATGGACAAAGTTTTGATGTTTTATCCAGTGTAAGACACAAATTGGTACTTGTATCTTAACATTCCTGCACAGCTACTTTTTCGTTTCGAGTCTCCTGTTTGAGATTGATTTTGTACAAATTGGTAAATGTGCCCATGACCTCGGATACAAGATTAAAACAGTGCAAACATAATGGAACACCTGCTGTTTTACAGTATGTTTACTTATATGGTTTTCTAAATGGCTTCTTTTTTCAGGCTATCAGCAGACAGCGACGACCTACTCACAACACCCAGCAATGTCAGCCCCAGGGCATGGTCAGTATGCAACTCCTTTTCAGCCTCCACATGTGCCACCCCCTCCTCTGCTGACCCAGTCTCGTCCCCCCTACATGTACTCACAGCCGCCAATACCATACATGATGCCCCATCAACTCCAGCAGCCGCCGCCACCAATGTACATGTCAATGCAGCAGCCAGCGTCGTACTCGTCGCCACAGCAACCATTAGTGACAGTCACCACCAAGAAATCGACCCAGCCACAGCGTCGTCAGCTCATCCCCGTACCAGAACAAGGCACCCAGTCTGCTTCGTCTGTACCATTTATGAATAAAGCAGTGGGTATAGTGGACCCTCCTAGACGGATACTCTTTGTTGGTGACAGCCTCATAAACCAGCTCAGCAATGATTTTGTGGGCCAGAAACAAAACTTGAACTTGCATCAGCGTGAGTTCCAAATTCACTGTGTTGGTAAGTTAGGAGGGCAAGTAGGAGACTTGGAGCCCCCAGCATTGAACCATACCATGAATGAAATTCAGCCACATAATGTTTTTATACAGTGTGGAGGTGATGACTTAGACTCACCAAACTTTAATCAAATAATGACTTGCCTACCTACCCAACTTGTGTCCGTTGCTCAAAGACTAGTGGATGGGTTTGGTGTGCTGTCTGTCGGAATCATGCAGATTTTACCACGACTGACAACCAAACATGTACCCTGCGATTCTTACAACAAAGGGGCTAACCAAGTTAACTGTAGTATCAAGTCACTTTGCAAGAACAATGACAACATCTTCTTCTGGAACCACAAGAATCTTAAAAATACTGATGTGACCAGTATTGGTAATGATGGTATTCGCCTGACCGAAGCTGGAATGGTCAAATATTTCCGATCAGTCAGAGGCGTGACATTATTCGTTGGTCGTGGATTAAAGAAAACAAATCTTCAATAATAGTGGAAATACTTTTGTCTTTACATTGAAAAGTTCAATGTTCGTTAATAACTTCTTATTTCGAGAAAATTAGTTCTGAACAGTATAGTTTCCAATGTTATCCATATTTTTCATGATAGGACAAAGAATGAAAATAACAACATTGACTTGTAGCTAAAAGCCTCCATTTTTTTAATTTTTTTTTTTATGTATTTCCAAATGTATGGGAGCATTGGAATGTTTTAGAAACACCCATTTTGTTTTAAGATTTGTGAATTTATATGTTCGGTCTATTCATTGTGCTGTGAAAATAGATTAATTGCTTTATAATGAAAAAGTACTTCATCATCAACAAATCTTAAGTGTTATTGATTGTTATAGAAGTGCAAGAAGATTATAATATATGCAATCCATTTTCTTGCTTCTAACTGTATATAGTGTATGATTTTGATATGATAAACGACTATAATATTTGGGATCAGTGTTGATTTGAATACTTGTTTTTCCTTTAAATCCGGGCCCAATTCATTTTGTCCATCCTGTCTTTATACATGTGTGTTATCATGTATGGGGTGTATAATTTATGTGATTGATCGAATTGATGGTAATAAATAATGAATCATATCGTTTAAGATCATTGACATGTAGAAATATGGCCGACAACATATAGAAATTCTCATAAGGTCCAGTTACATATATTGTTTAGGAAACAAGTTTCAGTGAGGTGTAATGGGAACAATTTTGAGATTCTTTTATCAATCAAATGTTCAACCAAAGTAATACAAAATTACATGTTTTTATTTGATACTGTATATCAGGACATTTTAGCTGAAGGTAAATTTTTGCCTTTTTCACCCTTCGTAATGAGGATGAGTTTATCATTACAGCAAACATTCGTAATATAAACAGTCAATAACATGTGAATGATGAATTGAAACTGGGTGAACAGGCATTTCATCAGTCAAGGGCAAAAGTTTTACTGAGCAGAAATGTCCCTGTATACAGTATTTAGATAGGAACATCAAAGGAAATACCCATCAGTTTTGCCATTGCCATGATCTTGTGACATTGTGTTGTTCACTTGACATCACAGATATTGGTGATATTACAATATATTGAATGTGTATTTGATGGTGATACAAAGATAGGATTTTAAATGTTTTTCCGTCTCCTATAAGATGTATGAAACAACTTCAGAACTGTTCCATTTAGTGAGGATTTGCCAAACTAAAATAATAATCCTGGGATAAGTTTCATAAATCTCACAGTTGATGGAAACAAATTAAAAATCCTTCTTGTATAACATGTAATAATAACCGTTACTGTATATGAAATATTTATGAAAACCTTGAATCACCAGGAAGTGTTCAACATCACCATCTTTACATTATGTTAACAAGTTGGTGAGTTTCTTCATTTGTGGCGTCACAATGCCATGTATTTATTCTGACGTCTCAGATAGTGTTGAAAATAACATTTGTATTTGAGATACTGAACTAGATAACGGGGACTACCCCTGATGGTGTCACTGCCAATATATTGTCAGAGAGGGCTTTTCCTTGTACACAACTGACCTATTCGTGGAAATGGTCTATTGGAATATTGACCCATATGAGGTTAAAGTCTGTCCTGTGATGAGAGATACTTAGCAACACTGGACTGACTGCCTTGCCTACATATTTCTGGAGGCATCAACTTGTGTATAGTTATATATGGTCATGTAATATTCTGCCAGGCTGATGATGCTAATTATTGAACGATCAACAAATCATGTCCATTTTGGTTTTCAAAGCAAAAGAAAGTTTGAAGAAATCCTTCAAGAAAAGACCGACAATTCTGTAAGTTTTTTGATGTTATGAATAGCTTCTGGAAGTACTAAGGCTTCCCTTTGTATATTATTTGGTTTGTTTTTGTGTACTGTTTATTGTGTAACAGAATTCTATGTATTTGAGGGAGTGCTGTTTAATCTGAATGTGCAATGAATAAACAGTAAGAATATTCATACTGGTAGTTATATTTTATTTGATAGGTACTACGTATATAGTAGTATGTAATAACTTTTGATTAAAACTTAACACAACTGGGTTGGATTGTCCTTTTAAAGGTAGGTTTTTGTTTGATCTTTTTATTAAAAGTTGGTGTGAAAAATTAAAGAGAGACTTCTGTTTTCTGGTAGCTATATTATAAAGCAGCTTGAAGCTCAAATGAAATATTCAAATCTAGTGAAAAGGAAAAACTTGCATATATGAGGGAGGGAAATCTACACATATAATTTGAGAAAAATCTGTGAAAAATACAGATAACAAACCTTAGCTGTCAGAATGCATGATGGCTGCCTGACAGCCATTTTGTTTTTTCAGTGTCGAATTGACACATGCACAACTAGTTGAATCATGTATCATGACCACCCAGCATTTAAATATACAACAAAAGGCACTGACCCCCTTTCATCCACCTGCAGGCTGCGGAGAGAAGCTTTTTGTAAATATTGCTTTAAGCAACTTTTCTGAAACTATGGGCAGTAACTTGATTTTCTTTTGATATTTCCACCCTATAACCATATACAAGCTTACTAGGCATAGCAAGTGGAACACTATCATGCTTCCAGGATGCATGCAAGAGACCTAGGGTTAAGATCACCACCAGTTACAATATATACAACAGCTGGAATGAGTGATGAATACACTCCCATGATTGTTCATGTTTTGCCTGCCCCTGGGGACCAATTTCTTCTGTATAACTTGAAAACAGTTGATATTCCCATCATAGAGCCATATAAGTACTTGCTGTCTTGTAGTGACACTCATGCTATCAAGATTATGCCCATGGGCTTGTGACCCAATCCCTTATGTTTTGTCATGAATACCTGTGAGCAACACTGGCCCTGGTTTAATCACACATACACTAAGGTAGTACATGATGTAGGGTTTATGAATCCCAATTACTATGCACGAAACAATTAAAGCGAGTATAAATATAACCTAGAGACGGGATAATGTCAGAGAGGAGCTACATGTATATGCTAATATTTCTATTTCTGGGAGATTTTCCTACTTAATGTTACTCGATTATTATATTATACTATACATTTACTCTCATGGTCTACAGCTACACACCACATTACTCATCTTGATCTTCGTAAATGAAAACTAATTTTACCATTTTGAAATTTTTACATGATCTGCACTTATATTTCACATGTGAGTTTATATTCTTATCAGTGTTGTACATAATGAGCTAGGAAACATTACAGCACTTTCCATCGTATAACTCACTACATTAGTAGTTTGGAATAGCCTGAAATTAGTGCAAAATGTGCATGGAATTAATGGTAAATGCAACTCTTTACTGTATTTTTAGCCCACCATCATCTGATAGTGGGCTATTCAAATCACCCTGCGTCCGTGGTCCGTCCTTAAACAATTCTTGTTATCGGTATTTCTCAAGAAGTACCAGAGGGATCTTTCTCAAATTTTATATGTAAGTCCCGCTTTGTCCTTAGCTGTGCAGGGCAACTTTTGAGATTGATCGGATAACAACATGGCCGACAGGCAGCCATCTTGGATTTTGATAGTGAAATTTTGTTATCGGTATTTCTCACAAAGTACCAGAGGGATCTTTCTCAAATTTTATATGTAGGTTCCCCTTTGATACTTAGCTGTGCAGGGCAACTTTTGAGACTGATCGGATAAACAACATGGCCGACAGGCAGCCATCTTGGATTTTGATAGTGAAAGATGTTATCGGTATTTCTTGGGAAGTACGGGAGGGATCTTTTTCAAATTTTATATTTAGGTTCCCCTTGTTCCCTAGTTGTGCAGCAGTGCCTGAAATGGAGGGTCTCTCGCTTGCCAAAAGTTGTCAAAAGTGAAGTAGTCACTGGCCGAACAAGAATAGTTCAGGCTGTTGAAAAATTTATGAATAAAAGAAATTATAGTCCCTTCCACATTAACTGGGGGGCAGTACATTTTTCAGTTGAAATTACTTCGATTTGAATCGAACTGTCTGTGATTTAGAAAATGTGATGATTTTTTTTCCAGATTTGCTATATAAATACTGCTTGGGTGTCTTCTTTGAGGTGCGAGTTGTGTATTTTCTTTTTGGGAAGACCTGAATAGATCTAGAGTGGATCATGTCGGATTTTAACTAGGGTTGAAGAATTAAAAATATAGTTTTAACTAGGGTTGAAGAATTAAAAATATAATGTTTTATTCTGTTTTACATATAACAAACATTGTCATGTTAAATGTAATTTAAATGTGCTGAAGCATTGTGTTAAATGCTGTAGAAATATTTCTTGCCAAAATTATTTGGGCCACCAATATGTCATTTGGGCCAGTGCTTCAAATTCTTCATTCGCCCCAAAATTCGATTTTAGGCCAACCAATGCAGGTTCCCCATTATCCTTTATTATTCATGTTTACTTTTGAAACTGATCAGTTAAACAAAATTGCCTACCGACAGCCATCTTTGATTTTTGACATTGAAGGTTCCCGACATTATTGTAGATGATATTGCTACATTGATCCTGACATTATTGTAGATGATAGTGCTGTTAGTACTATGTAGGTTGCCTTTGATCCCTCGTTTTCCATGTTATATTCTGAGACTGATCATAAACACAAAATGGCTAAAGGAAGAACTAAACAGATCTTTCTCATATTGAAATGATCAGTTCTATTTCTTTCACATTAAGTACTGTACTAGTAAATATGTGAAATGACAAACTCACTTTGAAGGTTGGCTTTCATACACATCTGTATTAAGTTTAGATCAAAAGTTACCTCAAGGTGCATTTACTGTTAACATGACTCGATCAAACAGATGAGAGGATAGAAGAGAAAAGATCAAACTGCCAAACTAATGACGATGGTACAATGGTGGGCGCCAAGATCCCTCTGGGCTCTCTTGTATTTCATTGTGTGAGGTAGCTACCGGAGAGGTACTCCTTGGTAGGAGAAATCTCTTTACAAGCTATGGTCGTAATTGTGACATCACAACAACAATATCAAGGCTAGTCGTAAATGTGATGTTACAATAACAATATCAAGCGTAATATAGATGTCACAATGAGAACAATCCAATTCTTGTTGATCCGCAATACTGATAAGAGGCGAATTTGTTATCACAAAACCAGTTTTGGTTTATAGTTTAGGTTTAGAACTGGTTCGGTTTTGGTTTTACTACTGTTTAAACAAATGTCTGGTTTAACACAAAAATGGCTTTAAAACAAATGTGTTCAGCACTAATACTTCAAATGTTTCTCAATAATGACGATGACATGGATGATATCCTTGTGTTATCGGTTTCCAAGCACTTAAGAAGCAGCTGCGATTACATACTCATATCAGTAGAAAACTGTTGAAATAACTGTAAAAAAAAAGAAAAAAGGGGGGAAACAATCTACTAATGGAAATAAAAAGGAAAGAAAAAAAACAAACATTTTTCAACAAATTTCACCTGCATGAAGTGGCAGTCATGTTTCCATGCATCTATTTTGATTCAGTGTTCGAAGAAAGACTACTCGCATACACTTCGCCGGGTATTTCAGGTAAGATCTTTGATTGTCAAATTTATTATGAAAACAAATTCTTCAAAATTGACGTTTTTATTGATTTTTGAATATTTCAACTTAAACAAATTTATTTATTTAATAAATTTATTTATTTAGTTATAATAGAAATGTTTGTGCAGCAGAGATGGCCGTTTAATCAGTCGATATCTTTAAAAATTCCTCTGCATTCCCTACATTCTACCATCACGCTTTCTACTGTTCTACTGACACCATTTCTGAGATTAGGGTGTGGTTTGATCAGTTTTTCTAACTGGTTTTGGTTTACCTTAAACAAAGGAAATGAAAAATAGAAAGTTTACAAAACCAGTTCGAAACTAAAACTAGTTTTGTGATAACAAATTTGCTTACCGGTATGCAAATTTTACACTTCATCCATCACTTTGGGCCCAAAAGAGATTATAGGTATTATTGGTAAAAAACAACAAAATGCTAAAAATACTATCTACATTGCCTTTAATTTAATTGTAGATTATTCCAGATGGAATTGTAAATCTATTACCCGATTTCAAATATGCCTCTAATTTACAATGTATCGGCCCTATTATCCACCAGGATATCAAAAGAAATGAAGTGTAAAACATTTAATATGATGTGGGAAGTGCAATGACTCATGAAATATACATGTTGTAAGATATGTTACAATAACCATTCTAAAGAAATCAATGAAGAAACATGACAAAAGATCATTCAGTCTATTTACCTGCACAAAGAGGTTGTAAGAATGACATCTACAGGTGGAATAAGAGAAATCCACCATAGGTGAGTTTAATGCAAGCTGGAATTCACAAACAAAATCACCTTTCTTAAGTTTGTTAGAAAAATTACATTCTGCAGAAAGATGGTCATATCCATCTTTCAATCTGTCCCCAAAAATAGTTCTGAGAATATTTACATACCAGGTAATTGTAAATTGTGATTAAACTCACAATCATTGTAAATGAAACATGAAATACTTGCCATGTTGATTGCAACTGTCTTGTTGTGACCAGACGTCACATGTCAAATATATTGTTTTTATATAAAATAAAACATGATCACACATTCTACAACCTCGGAAACTATTTTCATTCTTTTTAAAATTTGCTGATAGACTTGCATTGATGGTCTTCAGTCCTATGGTGATAGAGTATTTTGCTCTACCTCTCCAACATCCTAGTCCTATATTGTCTTCTACATGGATAAAGAATACAATGAACACAATGCACAGGGCTTAACACTAGGTGATCTGTCTACTAATCAATGCAATATCAACCTAGTCACTGCTGCATGGCTTCCTTCAATAGTCTTTGTATTTCCAAGGCCACAACGTTTGTATTGTGGATGTGATTGATTGAGGCCTTCCCTAGTAGTCATCGTAGTTCCTTGCAATTCCTTGACTACCACCCATACCCATTTGTTGTCTATTTCCTCCTGTGAAAAACAAATACAATATGAGAATGAAGAGCACCTGTCGGCTGTTCTTTAGTCCCCCTCCCTCACCAAATACATGTCCCCGAGGCACATGCGAAAGTTCAACCTGGACAAATCAACACAAAATCTGACTACAGATTAGTTGTTGTCTCTGCCTGGTGATTTAATAAGCTCTTGTATTTGGACAAAACCTTTTGTACTGTGCATTTTTTGGCACATATGACATGGGAAAGGACTTGACATGAGGAGACATTAAATTACATTAGTTCCCCCCCCCCCTAAAATGTGAGACTTGGAAACACTGAAGTGTCATGCATTGTTTGACAAATTTCTATAAGTAGTAATGGTAACACTTAACCTTGGAACCCTCAAATATGATCTCATTGAAGGTTTTTTCATACCTGACCTTTATATAAAGAGTGATGTCATTCTGTATACAAATGAAGTTGCTAGAATGATGACAATGAATTGGAATTAGATACGATCAGACAGATATGGGTAACGCTATATGCCGACCAATAAAATGACTGGGGTATAAAACCATGTCAGACTTTTGCTTTTATACAGCGATCCACCATACACTAAATCTGTCCAGTAGGTAGTATAATACTGTACCTTGGTTGTATCCCCCTCTGCCTGCTCCTCCACGACTTGGTCCTCCTCGGGTCGTTCCTCTGGCTGCTCCTCTGGCTGCTCCTCTCATATTTCCTCCACGCATACTCCCTCTTCCACCTCTGCTCACTCCCCCTCGTGTTGCTCCGAAGCTAGGTTTGGAGGCGGAGTACTGGTTCTGTATTGGGGAGCGGTATTGGTATGATGTCTGCCCCCCAGAGTAGCCTCCACTTCCCATTGTAGAGGTACGGCCCATTGTAGAACTTTGTGGAGAAAATTCTAAATCGACAGAATAAAATAATTTTTAATTATAAGAAGAGCATAAAGACTCATGATAAAAATCAGTTTGTTGAAATAAAATCATACACTATTGATACACTAAATTAATTTTTGAACCAGAAATAGTTCAAATGAATCATATAAAAGACAGAGTATGGCAAAGGGGAAGGGGTAATATACATGTAGGCCTGCACATGCAACACAACATCCATTTAGACTGTCGTGTAAATGTCCTCACTCTTAAGTATTTCTACACTCCCATAGTCTTGATAACCTCTTGGAAGTAAGTTATTATACATCAAAGCTGTTATTATACATCAAAGCTGTTATTAATACATCAAAGCTGTTATTAATACATCAAAGCTGTTATTAATACATCAAAGTTGTTATTAATACATTGAGATTTATCAATTATTCATGCAATAAAATATGTATTTAAATGTAACAAGAAAATACTATATTTATACTCCATTACTCTAGGAAGTAAACCATTTCTACAGTGTGTTGAAATAGGAAATCCTATAGAAATATACTTAATTAGTAACTAAAGGTATAAGACAAGAGTTCCAATTTGGCTTCACCTTTTATTTTAATAATATATCTATATATAAACTGTCTCCCTAGCCCATATTCTAAAACAGTAAACACCATGAATGAAAATATGTTTAAAAATCAAAAGAGAGTCATAATTCTGTATACAGGGTGGTGTAAAATACAATTGAAGTATACTACATATGGTCTTCCTAAGATACACATATATTACAAGGTTGGTGATTGTAGGTGAAAAGGAAGGAAACTATCCCAAGAGCAAACTTTGGTATCAAAGACAAACAAGGACCCTTACTCTATATTAAATGGGCAAAAGATACAGCATGTGACGTTCCATCTTCCCAACCTACATAAGCATGGGACGTTAGGTGAATGTAGGTGAAAGAACAAGAAAGTTCTGTTCCAGGCAAAAGGCAGTTGATGGATGACAAGGAAAGGTTAACAAATAGACAGACTCTGCAGGAATACCATAACACACCTGTCGTTCATGGAAATGTACCAAACAAAATGTGGAATGATTCCTGCTTGTAATGTTATTATGACAATGCAGAAAACAAAAGCATCAGCAAAATTTTTGAAAACCTTTATATTCTTTTCAATTTTGAAGAAAAGTTCAGCTTAAATAAGAACGAATCATACAAGAATATATTCCACATTCAACAGCATGAACAACCACACCAACCTTCTCTTGGCCTTTTCTGCATTTGTGAGTGATCCTCATCATAGGGTTTCCTCCTTTTTAGGGCAACAGGATTTGCTCTCCGTGTAGAGGGAACTGCGACTGGACGTCCCAGTGAACTGCTGGCAGAGCCACGGGCTGGAGACTTACTCCTGTCATCATGTCAATGAGACATACTTATTTCAAAAGGTCAAACTCTAATAACTGGAAATAATTTGATAGTGATATCCCCGAGAACAAATGTTAGACCTTGACACAAATTGAAGCATTGTCAAATCAACATCAGCAAGGAGTCTTGCACACTTGTCACACAGATACCCATAGGTATTAATGGTAACCTGAGTCGTAATACTGTATAGCTATTTTCTGTGGTGAGACAAAAACTTGAAATAGTCAGGTATATCAAGCAATAAAGTTTATTAGCTTTCATGTCGGAAACAAAGCACACTAAAACCCATTTAAATAAACATAACTGCCAATGAAAAATAATATACCATGACATTGAATCACTATGAAACAAAATGGAACACACAAGGGTAACACTGTTTGCCCCTCCATTAAATGATGGGGAATTAAAATAACTTGTTTAGTTTAATACAACAGATTTTACCCTTCTTTCTTTTGCATAGCATCTAGAGCTGTCTGGAGGAGAGCGACCATGGCACGGTCATCCTGGACACCTTGTCTGTAACATTGTCCAAAGTCATCAAAGTTATCACTTAACGACATAGATAACACACAGTATACAGTTACTAGTTAACGACATAGATAACACACAGTATACAGTTTCTACTTAATGACATAGATAACACACAGTATACAATTACTACTTAATGACATAGATAACACACAGTATACAGTTACTACTTAATGACATAGATAACACACAGTATACAGTTACTAGTTAATGACATAGATAACACACAGTATACAGTTACTAGTTAACGACATAGATAACACACAGTATACAGTTACTACTTAATGACATAGATAACACACAGTATACAGTTACTAATTTTTGACAAAGATAACACACAGTACACAGAGTTACCACTTAATGACATAGATAACACACATTACACAAAGCTGTCACTTAATGACATAGATAAAACACAGTACACAAAGTTATCACTTAACGACATAGATAACACACAGTACACAAAGTTACTACTTAATGACATAGATAACACACAGTACGAAGTTACTACTTAATGACATAGATAACACACAGTACACACAGTTACCACTTAATGACATAGATAACACACAGTACACACAGTTATCACTTAATGACATAGATAACACACAGTACACAAAGCTGTCACTTAATGACACAGATAACACACAGTACACAAAGTTATCACTTAAGGACATAGATAACACACAGTACACAAAGTTATCACTTAATGACATAGATAACACACAGTACAAAGTTACTACTTAATGACATAGATAACACACAGTACAAAGTTACTACTTAATGACATAGATAACACACAGTACACACAGTTACCACTTAATGACATAGATAACACACAGTACAAAGTTACTACTTAATGACATAGATAACACACAGTACAAAGTTACTACTTAATGACAGATAACACACAGTACACAAAGTTACTACTTAATGACATAGATAACACACAGTATACAGTTACTAATTAATGACATAGATAACACACAGTATACAGTTACTACTTAATGACATAGATAACACACAGTATACAGTTACTAATTAATGACATAGATAACACACAGTACACAGAGTTACCACTTAATGACATAGATAACACACATTACACAAAGCTGTCACTTAATGACATAGATAACACACAGTACACAAAGTTATCACTTAACGACATAGATAACACACAGTACACAAAGTCACTACTTAATGACATAGATAACACACAATACACAGTTACTACTTAATGACATAGATAGCACACAGTACACAGTTACTACTTAATGACATAGATAACACACAGTACACAAAGTTACTACTTAATGGCATAGATAACACACAGTATACAGTTACTAATTAATGACATAGATAACACACAGTACACAGAGTTACCACTTAATGACATAGATAACACACATTACACAAAGCTGTCACTTAATGACATAGATAACACACAGTACACAAAGTTATCACTTAACGACATAGATAACACACAGTACACAAAGTCACTACTTAATGACATAGATAACACACAATACACAGTTACTACTTAATGACATAGATAGCACACAGTACACAGTTACCACTTAATGACATAGATAACACACAGTACACAAAGTTACTACTTAAAGTCATAGGAGTGTATTGATGAACGGAAATAGGAAGTACATCCCTAGTTGAAAATCCAATGTAGGGAGACAGTATCACAATTTCCGTATATTCTAATGTTTAATATTAAACTGATGAATATTGTATGCTTATTATTGACAGAACAGTGTTTTCTCTCAATATTAAAGCATTTCAAACCAATCCAGGCATTAATTCAGTTGTTTTTTATCAATGAGTCAAATGTGTCCATTTTTCTGTACTTGAGGAAACTGGCTACCTATTTCTCTACTGTATTTTTTTTTCAAGAAAGATAACTCTTCCATGCAATTACTATGTGTATACGGTTTTATTATAAAGCGTCCATTTTTAATCGTTTACAGATCATTTATTTTACACAATTTCATCATTTATTAAATTGATATACATTAATGCAATACTAATCTATTGCAGTATCATTTTTAGTGACATTATTTTGCCAAAAATTGTGTCTTTCATTTTTTTTTCAAAATTCACTCCTTTTTAAATAGGTTTCATTTAAAATCCTTAAAATTTTGACAACCTATATTTTTTGGTAGCAGAAAATTTTCTTTACTTCAAAGCAATATAATTACAAAATTTGAAAAAATCTACTGAGAAATGGTGACACAATCCTATTACCTTAATGACATAGATAACACACAGTACACAGTTACCACTTAATGACATAGATAACACACAGTACACAAAGTTACTACTTAATGACAAAGCGTCAGTCACTGCAGCCATTTTAAAGAAGTCCAAAATGTCCCAGCATATCAATATCAGTCAAGGGTGGCCCTTTTTGGATTGTCACAACAATGACTACACTTAGTCAAGACCTTTTAAGGAATATTTGTATCAACTTTTGAGTCAATTGATGTCAGTGGTTCTTGAGAAGTAAAAAACATCTCAGGTTAGCCAATTTGGATCGGCACGAAAGCAAAAACAACTGGAACATAGCTACAGGTACCAAGTTTGGAGTTAATACCTTCAGTTGTTCTTGAGAACTGAAAATGTTCATTATTAATGGAAGACATGTTATAACAGGTGAAAACTGAGAGTAATACCTTACATGATCATCATGTAAGCAGCAATAGAATTACCTTTCGTTTGAGAGGACAACTCCAAGCTTTTCAGAAAGGTCCTGAAATAGGGAATAAAATCGTGTTTATATCTTAAGAGAAAGCATAAAACATAGTGTAGATGTACATGCACCATTAGAAACAGACCAAATCTATAAAAAAACTGATTAGTACACACTTTCATTAAATTTTATATGCATGTATACATGTTTAAGTATACACTTTGATGTGTTATATGAATGCTGACTTACCCTGCGCGAAGCTGTCTTTTTAACTCCTCTTCCCCTGGAATCATCGTCTAGAGAAAAAAAGGAAAAATAAATCTGTCTTGGTTTCAGGTAAAACAAAATGTTTTGTATGATGTACCACTTCGTTTTCAATGTTATTTTGATGTTTTGTAAGAAAAAATACCAGTTTCTGAAGAGTGTTGTGAAGGCTAAATCTGTAGTAATTTGCCACAAAAATTTCACTTTATACAGTAGAAAACATACCTGGTATCAAATGATGGTAAATATTCTTATGTGTTCACAAATAACTAAAACTGTTAACTCACAAGTATAAACTTATATTTAACAAGAGGTCCAAAGGGCCTGTATCGCTCACCTGAATATGTTTAAAATAAATGGTATGAAGTAAAGATATGGCACTCCATGGTAGGTGCTGTAAGTAAATATAAAATTTCAGAAAGATCCATCTAGAACTTGAGATATAACGAGAAAAAACTTCAAAAAGAGCCCCACCATATATGTCCCTAGGGGAGTCATACCCACTGCTTATACAAAATTGAGTCCCCTTGGCCAAAGGTTGCTCCAGACTAAATAAGGATAAAATCCCTTAATCCCTATGGCAGAAGGATTATAAAGGTTTTACCTCTATTTCCCCTATTGGGCCCTGCCCTTCAGGTCCCAGGGGGGCCACACCCAACTTTTATACAAAATTGGTTTCCCTTTACCCAAGGATGCTCCACACCAAATATGGACCAAATCCTTTCATTCTTACAGAAGAAGAAGGATTTTAAAGAATAATTTGCTATGTTTCCCCTATCGGCCCCGCCCCTCTGCCCCAAGAGGGGCCACACCCACCATTTATACAAAATTGAGTCCCCTTGGCCTAAGGATGCTCCAGACCAAATTTAGTCAAAATCTGCTAGGCCGTTCAGGACTAGTAGCGTTTTAAAGGAAAAGTTGATTGACGGACGACTGACAACGGACGCTGCGGTAGGGCATAAGCTCACTATGGTCCTTCGGACCAGGTGACCTAAAAATCATTATGGTACCTAGGCCCATGTCGTGTGAGTCATAGTCTCTGTCATCCCAAACAGGGCTTCTCTCCCTCCTCCTGGTGATCTGTTGCTGCTGCCTCTTTGGTGCTGAGCTCGGTCCCATCCTGTCCGACGATCTTGATGGCCGATCATATTCACGATCATAGTCATCATCTCGGCTGCGATGGGATCCCCCTCGGTTGTAGTCATCCTCATAGTCACTGTGGTCACTAAAATGTCCACCTTTGTTGTAATCCCTGTAGTCTCGGCTTAAGTCACCACTGTCTCTTCTACTCCGTACTGGACTACGATTTCTATCAAAGCCTTCATCTCTGCCTGAATCAAAGTTACTTCTACTGTCTCGCCCACCTCTGTAGTTACCTCCCCTTCCACCTGAATAACTGCCTCTTTGAGTAAAATTGCCCCTGTTTCCTCTTGATGGCCGTACATTGATATCACTGGTTCGCCTCATTCCTCCATCCCTAGACGACCCTCTCCCGTTATTGAGGCGACCTGTCTCCATGGTACCCCCAGTGCTCCTCCTTTGACGCTGATCACTGAAGGACCTATCTGATCCAAAACCTCTGCCCTGGGAAGGACTCCGGTCAAGTCTATCCCGACTTCTTGACCTTGACGAGATATTGCTTCTCATTTGACGCATATCTGACCCCATTTGGCCCATTCCTTGGTTCATGTTAAGGCCCCCCATGGAATTTCCACCCATGCCCATTCCTACGCCTGCACCACCCATATTTCCCATCATTCCAGTTCCCATCCCCCCCATGCTAGATGCCATTCCCATATTTCCCATTCCCATAGTTGATCTCATGTTGAGACCCCCCATGTTTCCACCCATTCCCTGTCCCATCATGTTCCCCATGTTGGACGGGCCCATTCCCATGCCACCCATGTTTGCAGCCCCTAAGCTGACATTGAGCCCGGGTATGCCCATATTTGTTCTCATTCCCAAGTTCATGCCCGACCTCAGGCCAGTGCCCCTCATGTTGGGCCTCCTGCCACGGGTGTTCAAGAACTTGTTGTCCCTGAAGTTGCCGCGACTGAACCTGCCAACAGGTCGTCTATCCTGGGTAGGTCGACTGTCTTGGAGGACATTCTTTTTGTTGTTCCAATACTCCCTTCTCTCTGTAATTAAGAAGCAACAGGTTAGAAGTGGACTGTACAATTCAGTTCTCAAATGAGCTTCTAATTTAACTGAATTTAACTGAATTTAACTGAATTTAACTGTATGACATTACTGTATTTGCATTCAGGGTGTATATGAAAATTACATCCATGTAAAAAAAGAACTTCTACTAGTGAAGCTAGCATAAGGTTGACAAATTGAAAGCCTGGAACGGAGTGTTACCGGTTTGTTAGATACTTATATTCAGGAATGGTATTACTTTAACTACATGCCAGAACTGCATTAAGGTTATGTAACAATATTGTTGTTCTATTTGAAACTGTTTGTTATTCATTGGAGGTTGAATTGTAAACCTGAAATGTTTGTGAATGAAAGGCTTACTGTCAGACAAATAGAAGGGTTTCCCCCACAGCCACTGCTGCACACGAGGTGTCGATGGAATCTCAGGTTTTCCTGAAATAAAAAGTATTTTGGTAAAGTTTGTTCCACATCATACTAATGATGTCAAGGCCATTCATTAACAAGAGGCCCAAGGGCCTTAGCGGTCACCTGAGTTATATCATAGGTACTGGTAGCTTTATTTTATTGTTTAGATGTGATGTGGAAATCAGCGTGTAAACTAAGTGAAATACAATACTTGTCATGTCATCAAAGGATAAGAATTTGAAAATATTGGTAAATGTTCCGTTTGGGGCCCCGCCCTAGCCCCTGGGGATGGGGCAGGAATCCCAATTTTCCAAAGTAATACTCTCATTCACCAAAGATAATTCTGACTAAGTTTGAGTAATTCTCTGCTGAAAATGAATAAAATATATACCCAAAAGTGTTATTTCCCTACAAAACTATAGTAAACTTTACCCCCTCCCCAAGGGAGAACGGATAGCTCGGGGGTCCTGAAATTTACAATTTAAATAAAGCCCCTGATGATCTTTCCATCCATGCAGAGAAAATGACTGTAATACCTCTGAGTCTGGAGAAGAAGATTTTTGAAATATTGGTTAATTTTCCCTTTTGGGCCCCGCCCTGGCCCCTAGGGTTGGGGTAGGAATCCCAATTTTACAATTTAAAACCATCTTCCTCCTCCAAGGATGATTCTGACCAAGTAAAAATAATTTCCAACAGAAAATTGTCAAAATATACCCAAAAGTGTTGTTTCCCTATATAAACTATAGTAAACTTTACCCCCTCCCCAAGGGAGAACGGATAGCTCGGGGGTCCTGAAATTTACAATTTAAATAAAGCCCCTGATGATCTTTCCATCCATGCAGAGAAAATGACTGTAATACCTCTGAGTCTGGAGAAGAAGATTTTTGAAATATTGGTTAATTTTCCCTTTTGGGCCCCGCCCTGGCCCCTAGGGTTGGGGTAGGAATCCCAATTTTACAATTTAAAACCATCTTCCTCCTCCAAGGATGATTCTGACCAAGTAAAAATAATTTCCAACAGAAAATTGTCAAAATATACCCAAAAGTGTTGTTTCCCTATATAAACTATAGTAAACTTTACCCCCTCCCCAAGGGAGAACGGATAGCTCGGGGGTCCTGAAATTTACAATTTAAATAAAGCCCCTGATGATCTTTCCATCCATGCAGAGAAAATGACTGTAATACCTCTGAGTCTGGAGAAGAAGATTTTTGAAATATTGGTTAATTTTCCCTTTTGGGCCCCGCCCTGGCCCCTAGGGTTGGGGTAGGAATCCCAATTTTACAATTTGGTATCCTCATCTACCAAGGATGATTCTGACCAAGTTTGAAAAAATTCCATCCACTGGTTCTTGAGAAGAAGATGATTATGTAAAAGTTTACGCACGACGACGGACGGAAAGTGATTGGAATATGTCACTTGAGCAAAGCTCAGGTGACCTAAAAAGTAACTTAACTTGATCATAACACACTAAACCTTGAATTTGTTAAAGAGTCATCAGATATAAAACTGACCTGTTCAGGTTTTATATCTTTGTAATAGATATAGGGCCTTATAACAACAGAGTTTCATGATATCATTTGGAATTTCCAGCACTGATTTTCTAAAAAAATAAATAATGTAGCAATCTGAAATACATTTGAAATTATGAAATTTCTTGATTATCCATTAACTAGAAAATATCTAAGACATGAACACCTCAACTATGATGAAAATTAGTTTCATTTTTAACTAATGTCAATAAATAGTTAGGGTGATCTTGAACTTTTGTTCCTGAAATATGAACTCTTTCAAATTCTCATACTTGACCTCTGTATTAAAGTTAGTTTAAAATATATTGAATAAATGAAGTTGCTTGAGTAATGTCACTGAATTGGTTGACAAATATCTATAATAAGTGTAGGTGACCCTGGCCTTTACCTAAAAACTCTAAAATAGGAATCTTTGAGTTATTCTCATACTTGACCTTTGTATAATGTTGGATCAAAAGCCATTTAGAATTGAACTCTAAAGTGTGATTACAGGGAATCGGATGCAATGCAACATGCAGACTGGGAGTGACATGGGTAGCACTATAAACCTACCCCCTCCAAAAGGTAGGGGACATAAAAATAAAGCAACTAGACAGATGACAATGATTTCCTGAAACTACTTAGTGACTTTGATTACAGACTGAAACACAAACTTTCCAATTAGTCACTCTATCTAACTCACCACATGTTCACTCAGTCCAATTAAGGAAATGTTCACTCTCTAGTTAAAACTTGCTGTGTTCAATGTCAGATGAAATATTTACCTATCGATGTCATCCTGCTGACTCTCACTTGAAGGCTTCCGATTTTGATGAACTTATTTTCATGAAGAAATGCAAGACATTCTGACTTAGTTGGCATTTCTACTACAGCCCAGCTAGAAAATAAAAAAACATGAATCAAGAAATTCATAAATGAAACACTGTAAATTGCTTTATAGGAAACACAAGTTTGTGAATAATATTTTCTTGTCATTGTTTGTTTTGTACACATCAAGACACAGTGCATTATGTAAGTGATTTAAGTGGTATAACAACCAGTGTAAAACAGATATGTCAGGGAAATTAATGTCACAAAGGGGAGACAACTCAAGTGGTGCCACAGTATTTGGAACTCATTCCTGTTTTACAACCAAGGGATTTTAAACATGATAGTATTAAATATTGTATCACATACTTATCTTCGTCATCTTGCATCAAGTGGCTAAGAATAACTTGCAGCAATATGTTGATACCACACAGGAAAGTCATGAATTATGTTACAACAATATACAAACCATTTAAATATATACTTTTTGTTTAAAAAATCAAATATGGCCACTACAAAAGTCTTTAACATTAATGCACTAGCTAAACAACCTAGAAATGAACTATAACCTAAAATTGTGAAAGTCTAGTTATAATATAACTCATGCAGCATTTACATTTCCTTATTTTGGCCACATTGGCACCAAATGATTCCTTTCCAAAATATAAATAAATGATGTCTGGACAATGAAGACAAGAGTATGATGGAATCAACCTGTTGTCATGGTAACATATTGATATTGTAGAGTATTTCCCATTCAATCAAATCACACCAAAAGGTGATTGTTTGACATTCTTGTAAACATTCCACAATATCTGTTTCCAGCTTGAGAAATGATGATCACTGAAAAAAATCGTTATGGAACTCCACACTACTTAAAGCATCACTTCTAAATGTAGAAGCTCTTTGATGGACTAAGTTCTTTGATGGGCTAAATAAATTTGAAAACAATATTTCCCATTCTCTAATGAAGTGACACACCTTGATTGGATCTAGAAGTTCTACAAAAGACAGTTGATGAGAAATCCCACAGCAGGAACCACAGTGTGTACTGGAAGTAGAGAAATCTATCTTGCCAAGGTCATACACTGTACAAGCATGCTTTCTTGTCAGATATTCTTGCAATGATCAGCAAATATGGCTGAAAATTGTTGATATTATGTTATGATACATACAGCAGAAAAAACCTTCTATCAGTACGCAGTATGAAATTATTTATAGAACTCGAGTAATAATTCAATGATCAGCACTGATACAGTAGTCCAAACATCAAAGATTGCTAATTGGCATCGTGTCAAATCAGATGGGTTCAATGCTCAAGTGAAATACAAACTGCTCTTTGCACCTGCCCCTTTTTGCCTTGCAATAAACCCCTTGCATTTCAGGGTCATCTCCACTACTACAAAGTTCAGTACTAGTGTCAAAGTCAGGAGCTAAAAACAGTGGAGTATGCTTGTATTACCTGCTTATTTCTGAAAATCTTGCTTGAATCATGTTTTCTTCAGACTTGTTCTAACTTGATAGGCCAAGGCAATGTATATTTATAAACCTGTATATTTTTAAGATTTATGAGAGTGGATACTGTATATCAGTATATCTCAGTAAATCACCACAAGAAATTTGTTAATGCTCTGTTATGATGATGAACAGGCAGTGTCATTAAGTTTTGTAAATGCATATTTAGTATCGACGGCAGATGTAGTTCATCAAGGGATTAAGCATATCACTGCGAAAAAAAATCAAGGGATTTTACATATCCCCGAGACAAAAGTTTTTTATTATACATAACATAACATAACAGGTAAAGTGTTGTTTCTTTTTACATGAAGACAGTTCTATAAACCATATCAGTAGAATGACTTCAGGAAATGTTTTGTGTCTCTCACCAAACCAGTGGTTGTCTTACAATTGCTCACCTGCCTTGCCTCTCCCTGAGGCCTGCCTAATTTGCCTCCCCATGGGCCTCACAGTACTTACTTACCCAACAACCTTGCCCCCTGGCTTGCGGGCTACACAAGCCCTGACCATATTAGGTATGTATTCCTTCAGTGACAAGTCTGTCGTATCTTCAGGTAAACTCTTCAGGAACAATGACCTGTCCCTGGGATGGCCTTCTGTAAACAACATGCAAAGCTGAAAATCAAGTCTTCGCGAAGACATTTTGAACAACAATGACAGTGCTTCCTGTCTCTAAGATCCGAGATCGACAACATCCACAGGGGAAGTGTTTACTCTCTGTTTTTATCTCGTCTCCAGACTAGCTGTGTACCATTGGATGACCATTTCATTAAGGGATGGTCTCATTCATCTCCATACATTAGTAGTAAAGACTTTGTATACATCTACAAAGCCTAGTAATACTTCTGACAAAGCTATATTGGGTAATACCAGATATCCTGCACAGCTGACAAGTATTCTCATAAATCTCATATCTTACAGACACAATAAATTCCATACATTTAATATTGAATAGGAAATGGATTGATATGGAAAAAGACATCTTTCAACATCTGGCATTCATCACATAGCCATCAAATTAAGATGGTTCCAGATTTGAACATCACATCATGATCAATTATACATGAAACTTGGCGATTTCACCGATATAATTCATATATGTATATACATATAAGTACACAATGCATTGTGTAAGAAAAAAACAAAAAGAATACAAATTCATAGTAATTTGTTCTTCCTGCTTATACATAACTTTCTTTTCTTTTTGCAGTTTAGACAACAACCCTTTGTAATTCCCTTAAAAACTTCTTTTTTGTTTCTTTTCCATTCCTTTGAATTGGTTGAATCATTTGAAGTTTTATTTCTTTCTGATGGCGGGGTTCAATGTTTTCTTTGATATCCTTAGCAGCAATTGAATATCCAGTTATGGGTAGCATTTCCAGCACATAATCTGGTATGTGAATCATTCCATTCTTCCTATTTTTCACTGATCAATCCATAACTTAAAGTTGACAAGAATCCAGTAAAATAGTCAAAATCATACCTGAAATCATATCATATTTCTTTTTCTGCAGTTATATCAATTTCTCTTAAAACTTCGAAACAGCATGATGATGAGGTAAGTTTGCCTTCCTCCTTGATGCATTCTACTTCAGGTGACTTGCATTCAAAAAAAAGAGAAGCTTTTTTCCTGATCTAATAACTTCTTTTTCAAAAAAATAGGTGTTTGTACTAAGATGGTCCATTTCTTCTCAGCATTTTCTCCCTTTTAAGAGTGAGTAAACACATTGTCCAGCAGAGTGTTTAGTAAGTCTTCAAAATGACGAGATCAATACGAAAGCCAGCCTTAGACTGCACCTTTTTACACTGACAAGGCACAGTAGCAAAACATTTTCACAATTCCTATGAAAAGTTAAGTGTGCCTGACAAGGTCAGGTAAATTGTTTTCCGATGTGAATATTTCAGGAATCAAACGTTGATTTTATCTTGATGTGAATATCATGATACAGTAGTCATTCCCAAGAATGTGCAGAATATTCAGAAAAGGTTGATCCCATCATTCACAGGAATATGTGGTTATAGCTTATCTTCTTCCACAAGCTCCCAATCATCAGTATATAACAAGTTTTCAAAGACACATTTTTTCTGTCACAAATAACTGACAGGAGCTTGATTATGCAGCCATCTGAAGAGCTCTCAGCATGGTGCCTTTAGCTTTCAATGTTTTGAGGCTTCTTCAAAAGGTCTCCTTGGTGGCAAGCCTACTCCATTTCTTACAACAGCTTGTCTTAATTTCAAAATAGCATTCTCAAGTTGTTTGTTCTAAATCCAAATATGTAAAGTACAGCTTTCTGAACACTTGTCCAGTGGATTTGGATGAGCCATGTTTGCAATGCCTCTTGGACTCAGGATCCTAAAACCTTGGCTGGTTTTAAGGGTCACAATTTTATAGTATGTGTTTAGGTCAATTACAAATATACTACATAAATAAATTATATATGAAAAAGTAAGATTCCTTGAAATTACATTATGTTTACTTATTCATACATGTAGATTAATTTCACTGGCTACACAGCCAGCAGATAATGTGTAACTCTTCCAGTTTATCTTGTGATTCTAATCAGAATACCTTACCTTGTAGACCCAATCTTCTGCAGAAATCATCTGAAATATAACAAAGAAAAGGGGATAAAATTGTCTCTTACAACAGCACTGACAAGAACAAACAGCTGTCAAACCGGTAAATTATTGTGTCCTTTACACAATAAAAAATGTCCTGAAGATCTTCATTATACAATTTTGTATCCATTATAATAAGTAACGATTCAATTTTATATAATAGCAACTTAACTTATCAATTGACTTTATGCAAACACTATTTCCTAGGGGCTATTGTTTGGGGAGGTCAACTCCCATTCCTCTCCTGATGTCAGTCTTACATAACGTTGAGTGTTGAAGCTTATTTTATTCTTGTGATCACTTTTGAATAAATCAGAAACATTGCAATCTCCACAGCCGATTTTGTCCTTTGGAATACAAGTATTTAAGCAATCATTGCAAAGTATTCTCATTAAAAGAAGTGTGTCCAAACTTCCACATGTACATCCTATAGATTTCTAGAATAATCACTGTTACTTACTTGTTTTCTTCAACAAATGTTCAGAGCATTCATCAATCTTTATTCCCAGCAGCCTAAGGTTGGCCAGACTTTTGACAAGACTTTCATATCGCACTGGACTTGAAGCATTGAAAGCAACTTTCATTTTCCTGAAAGGAAAAGAAACAAAGATGATATGCTCCCTATCTACTCCAATATATTTGTTTAAAAAGCTAAAAGTGTGCACCCTTAGTGTTTCCGTAGTAAATAATCATTGGGATCCTAAAATCCTGACATGCTATATCACAAATACACATCGAAGATCAGTATACTTAACATGGTTTGTGGAGGTTGCATCATACAATGCATGTTTACCCATATTAACAACGGTGACAGAAGAAGAATTAAAAATGAAGACCCTTTGTTCAATATTGTACATGTCATAAACGGGAGGAAAATGAAGAACTGTGGTGTTCGGCATGTAGTAATCATGTCATCTACATCTATTCACTAGAGGCCATGACAAGCTGGACACCATGCAACATGATGCTAGGTCGAAGATTTCCACTAGAGCTTTGATGCTAGGTCTCAGGTTGTCAGTAGGGTTTTGATGCTAGGTCTCAGGTTGGCAGTAGGGTTTTGATGTTGGGTCTCAGGTTGGCACTAGGGTTTTGATGCTGGTTCTCAGGTTGGCAGTAGGATTTTGATGCTAGGTCTCACGTTGGCGGTAGGGTTTTGATGCTAGCTCTCGGGTTGGCAGTAGGGTTTTGATGCTTGGTCTCAGGTTGGCACTGTGGTTTTGATGTTAGGTTACAGGTTGGCAGTAGGATTTTGATGCTAGGTCGCAGGTTGGCAGTGGGGATTTGATGCTGGGTCTAAGGTTGGCAGTAGGGGTTTGATGCTAGGTCTAAGGTTGGCAGTAGGGTTTTGATGCTGGGTCTCAGGTTGGCACTGGGGTTTTGATGCTGGGTCTCAGGTTGGCACTGGGGTTTTGATGTTAGGTCACATGTTGGCAGTAGGGTTTTGATGCTAGGTCTCAGGTTGGCAGAAGGGTTTTGATGCTAGGTCTCAGGTTGGCAGTAGGGTTTTGATGCTAGGTCTCAGGTTGGCAGTAGGGTTTTGATGTTAGGTCACATGTTGGCAGTAGGGTTTTGATGCTGGGTCTCAGGTTGGCACTGGGGTTTTGATGTTAGGTCACAGGTTGGCAGCAGGGTTTTGATGCTTTTTCTCAAATGGGGATGTAGGTTTTTCTTAATTGCTCAATAAGAATTCACTTCAACTAAATACTTATAAAATAAACTGTACACAGCCATTAAACATGAAAGCAGAACTTTTTGCTATGAATATAATAACTTTCCCATGAGTATGTAATTTGACTCCATTATATGACTTATACATTGAACTCTTTGACCTGAAACACATTGAACATCTTTCTGTCAGCCACATGTATACATTACCTTGTGGAAGAATGATACATTCTATTTATCAGCATTAGAAATGATTTCTGTTCCATTTTCAAACAGACTTTCTTTGTTTAAAATTATCTTTCGAAATTAATATTTGATTTTCTCAACAAACCTGAAACTGCACCAGCTGAATTTTTAAGCCATAAAAATTTTTTGGAATATCTTATATTTTAAAATTTGAATGTGTAAGATAAAGCCATAAATAGCCACACATACTGATATATTGGAATGTCATCAATACAAACTGTTGAGACTGTAATTAAAAAAATAATGTTTACAAAAAACTTACCCCAGTGTACGCATTCCATTCAGATCTTCAAAATCAATATGGATTTCCTTTGCTTTGCAAAGGCAGAGGAAAAAGTCATCAGCTTTAAAGTTTCTCACCTCCACTTCACTCAAGGTCACAACTGGTAATATAACAATGGAATTATTTTAAAATTACAAATGAAATCAAATACAGAGCAATTTGATATTTATATCACTAATATTAGGTAAGGTGTACATTTCCTGAATATATCATAATATATTTAATTATTGATGGAACAGGTCACCTCAAATTACATTTCTCAAAATGTGTCCTTAAAAGATTTCACAGGATTTGAAAAATGGTCAACAACTGAAAATCAAATGATGAATATACTTTAAGTTGAAAAAATATATTTTGTTCATCAGTCCAACGGTTATTACATTTTTAAAGAAAACAAATAAGATCTTAGTAGATATTCAATACCCAAATTGTCCCATTCCTTTGTCATGGCTTCATGCTCAGCCTTTCTCCTTGCATCAGCCTTGGCTCTTGCTTCAGCTCTAGCTTTTGCCTCAGCCTCAGCCCTAGCTTTAGCTTCAGCTCTGGAGTTGGCACCCTTTCCGGCATCTTTTTTATCACCCTTGGATTTAGCAGTGTCTTTTTTGCCTCCCTCTGGGTTTTTTTCAACTTTTTTGGTAGCTGTTTTCTCTTCTCCCTCAACCTTATCCTTTGAATTCTTTTCTTCGGTTCCATCTTTTCCAGAATCACCACTTTCCTTTTTATCGGATTTGTCTGCATCATCACCTTTAACTTCTGCAGCCCCCTTTTCAGCGTCATCGCCGTCAGTGTTCACATCTTTATCTCCTGCTTGCTTTTGGTCAGCATTTTCCTCTGTTGATTCTGTTTTATTTTCATCTTTATCTAAAGTGTCCTTAGATTTAACATCTGCTGTTTTACTTTCGTTACTTTCTGCAACTGAATTTAGAGAAAACATTATCAGAGCATAATGAATTTATGATTATTAGAGTAAACTCTATGCAATCCAAAATCGTCTTATACCCATTGTTTATTGGACTAAATGAGTTAATTTCACAAACTGCATGCCTGAATACAACACAATACTAACCATCAGTTTGCTTTGCAGATGAAGAATCCTCTTTTTGATCACTTTCATCAAGTTCTCCAGTCTCCTCTTGTATGTTACCCTCTTCTTCAATGTGTTCATCATCATAACTAGGTTCCATATCATCTTCAAGGTCTCCATCTGCCTCATACTCAGGACCTGTAGGCATTTCATTGTCATCTATCTCTATGTCATGATCAATCTCTCCCTCATCATCGTCATGTTCAGATCCTGATGCTTCATCTACAACATCCCAGTTATCTGTCATAAACATTTCTACCCCTTCTTCATCCTCAATTTCTTCCTCTTGTTCCTCATCAGCTTCGTCCATTTCTTCTCCTTGTTCCTCATCAGCTTCCCCCACTTCTTCTTGCTCTTTATCAGGTTCTTCATGCTCAGATTGAACAGTTTCGGCAGCAGACACTGCAGCTGCCTCATCTGCTGGGGTTGCCATTGTTTTTTTAGTATCAATGTCACTTCTGCAAATAAATAACAGTACAGAGATAACATTCATGACTTATAATAATCTTTTACCTTACATGAAAGTCAGAAAAGCTGTTCTCTGAAACTGTTAATAGAATCATTTCAAAACCCTATTTACCAATTCTGTAAATGTAAACTTATTTCCTTTCAGATTGCAGAACTATCTAAACATCTAAGAAGAAAAAGCTAATTTGTTACATCTATAAAATAAGGTACAATTTGTTACATCTATGAAATAAGGTACAATTTGTTACATCTATAAAATAAGGTACAATTTGTTGCCTCTATAAAATAAGGTACAATTTGTTACATCTATAAAATAAGGTACAATTTGTTAC